ATAAGGAGTAAATGACTTGTTTTAAGACTTAAAACTATATATAATAGTGATATAAAACAATTAAAAACAACCCCACACATTAATTAATTAAAATGAAATTACAAAAAAACCCCTAACTAAGGCAGACCCGTCAGGGACCACACCCATTTTGACGGGTCGTGAGGGGCACCACGGCTCGTGGTGGTGCCCGTGGTCCCTTGACCAGTGTGACTCTCCACCTTTCCAAACCCTCAAGGGCCTAAGGGAAGACCACGAGACCTCCCACGATCCGTGGTCAAGACCATGAGTTGTGGTGATGGTCGTGGTCATAGAGGCAGTAGCTTGGCCAAGTTGCCTTGCTTCCTATGCAACCAAGTGATCTTCACGACCACTTATACAAACTGTCTAGGGTACCACGGCTCGTGGTGGTGCCTGTTGTCTTTGAGGCATTAGCCTCTTCAACTTAACTCATCTCCCACAAGGCCAAAGGGGTCTTCACGGACCCCTTCACGGACCGTGGTCAATGCAACTGGTCGTGAACCCTGGCAGTGCTTGGTCAAGGGTTGGGTAGCCTTGGCTTTTGGCTAGGCTTTGCCCCCCTTGCCTTGGCACATGCCCTTGCAATCCCATACCAAACCTAAAAAGGGTCCTTCAACTACGGAGTCTAACACGTACCTTGACGTTTACCCTCACGATTAGGCTCTAGTTCAACCTATCATTTTCCGAGTCGTTACATACAACTAGGCAAAGAAGACTACAATGCTTTCATAACTGTGAAAACAATTACTAAATATGGTGAGACGTCAAAAAAGGCGTGCAAAACCACAAAGAAAGACAATTTATACAATGATTTCAGATAGAGTGCTAGATTCATTAAATCAATGTTCTCTCAGCCCCCGCTGAGGAATTTGGTCTAGGCACCTTCTAAGTGTGATGCATACCTGATGTCTTGTTTTTCTATCATTCATTATTCATTAATCTTCATTGACCTACGTGAAAATTGAAATTCTCAATTTATCAGGGCATGTAGCGCGACTCGAGAATCATTCATAAAATCTTTAAGTGGGATTTCTGGAGACTCGAGTAAGAACTCTTGCTGTGAAATATAAGTTACTTATTACTGGTGGATTGCAATGAGAACATATCATCAAGTATTTAGATAAGCCTAGAGTTTGCTTTTGTTCTCGCCAGCATTTCTCGATGATGTCATTACCACTGCTATTCAGATTAACAACAGTGCTAGTGCAACACTTTATTTTATAGCTTCAAATAATGATTCGGGAGTTAATGATTTCGATTTGGATCAATTTAAACTGTCTAACCATTTCCATTTTTCCCAGCCAGTGAATCATACATCACTCAACCCTGATGGCAATCTCTAACTCCAGGAGGTCATCACTTGCTAGGGAAACTGGAAACGGTTCCACATTTGAAATTTCTTCAAATCAAAATCTCTAACTCAAGAATCATTATTTTAAACTATAAAATGAAGTGCACCACTGGCGGTGTTATTAATTTCAATAACAGTGGTAATTGTATCATCATCATACGTCAGCGAGAAGAAAAGCAAACTCCAGGCTTACCTAACTACTTGAAGATAAGTTCTCTTTATAACCCACCACCAACAAGCAACTTATCTTTCACAACAGAAATACATTTTCAGGTCTTTGTAAATCCATCCAAAAGGTTTTTGAGATGTTTCTCGAGTGGTGCTACATCCCAGATAAATTGAGAGTTTTAATTTTTTACGTAGGACAATGATGACCAATGAATGAGAGAAAAATGAGACATCAGGTACACATAATGATTAGAAGGTGCCCAGACTAAATTCCTTAGTGGGAGTGAGAGAACGTTGATGTAATGGATCTTGCATTCCATCTGAAATCATAGTATAATCTGTCTTTCTTTGTGGTTTTGAACTCCTTTTATGATGTCTCACCAGATTGAGGCAAATTTTCATAGTTCTGATAGCGTTGTAGTCTTCTTTGCCTGGTTGTCTCCCTGGCTATGGTAACCCTTTCCCACGGGATCCCTCCAATATCTTTGCCCTTCCTTACCTCAGCGGCCGGAATATCTTGCATTCTTTTATTCATGTACTCAAACTCTTCTACATCCAAATTAAAAACCACCTAAGCCTATGCTTAGGAACTCATATACATCAAAATCAAAGTCATCCAAGTCTATCTTGCAACTCATCTTCATCTGAATCACAACCACCCAAGTTTATGCCTTGGAACTCATCAATCAAATCATCTAGCTCTTCCATTTCATATTCAGCTACTACGTATTCAACATCATATCCTAGTTGATGGGATATGTTACACTCCAACTAATGATCTTGGGGCGAAAATTTAGGGTCTTTGCTTTTTTCCTTTTCATCGTGATAGGTTTTTTGGTTGACTCCAGGAATGGAAAGGCTATTTCTCCTTTGTGTGCACATGTGAACTACTCATTTGCATCAGCCAACATCCTGATGTCCTAACATTTGAAACTTGGAACTAGGATAAAACATGCCGTATATGGGATATTCAGAACCTGTCCAAGTCAATCACTACTTTCAAGAGGAACCTTGGAGCTATTCGATAAATCTGCTACACATCTGATGTCAGATTTATGGGCATGGCATAGCTTGTATAATTTATCTGCATTTTTAAAGTAATATGTGGATTTGAGGTGGAGAAAGAAATTGATTATTGCGGTGAGATATGAGGAGTGTCTTTTAGTTCTAATACAAAGTCCCTTGTCATTGGCATGTGGAATCACACATTTAGTAGCCTCCTTGAGTTTGGGTGACCATACAACTATTCATACCTTGATGCAATAATACGAGCACACTGAAGGTAGAAGATGATTATATATAGGTTAATATTTGTTTTATCATGCTATTTGAAAGCTAGAAGATCTCTAGTCATTTGAACGATAAAACATAGTGTGGTATCCTTTATAGCATAGGCCACTTACTTGGAACAAAAGGGTGTGACCTAGTGGTCAATGAAGTGGTTGAGAACCTTAGGCCCCAGCCTTGGTGGAAAGAGTAGGTGGTAGTTAATCCGTGGATTTAGTCGAGGTGTACGAAAGCTACTCCGAACACCAGATCATAAAAAAAATAAAAAAAAGATAGAATCCTACTTGAAAAATGATTGTACTGTAATGTCCTAGTCGAAAAAGAAATCTGATGTAATATCTATAAATAGGGTCTTAATGTAATTATGTAGAAACATAATTCAATAATATTTTCTCCAATATTTCTCAAATTATATTAGAGATTCTACGATCCTGGTAGAGAATCAAAAAGCTTCTGCTGCTAGCACACGACTATGACCAATATATGCTGCCCATCTGTCCAATGGTTATGTTAAAAAAACTAGAGCCAATGATATATGCATGAACCCCATATTCAGGGGAAGCAAACTCAACCAAACAGATCACCGTGCGTCAATTTCTGAAGACTTTCTAGGGTAGGGTGCTTGTTTTTACTATGATTTCCACATTTTACATTAAAAAAGATTAGAAAATTCTACTAGCTCTACCTTGCACATAAATCTGTAATCAGACATGTAGCAGATTGGCCAAATACCTCCAAGGTTACCCTTCAAAGTAGTGACTGACTTGGATAAGTTTTCAAATATTCCATATTCTACACATTTATATTTATTCCCACTTGCAAACGTTTGGCCATCAGAATGCCAAGATGATTCAAATGAGTAGTCCACATGTCCACACAAAGGATAAACAACTTCTCCATTTTTGGAGTCAACCAAAAAACCAACAGTGGTCAACAAGAGAAAAATAGGCACCCTAAATTTTTGCCCCAAGATAATTAGTTGGAGTGTAACATGTCCCATCAACAAGTAGATGATGTTGATTATGTATTAGATGAATACGAAATGGAAGAACTAGATGATTTTATTGATGGGTTCTAGGGCGTAGACTTGGGTGGGTTTGATTAAGATGTAGATGAGTTGCAAGGCATAAACTTTGAATGACTTTAATTTGGATGTAGATGATTTCCAAAGCGTCCGTAGACTTAGATAGCTTTGGTTAGGATGTAGATGAGTATGAATACATGAACAAAAGAATCCAAGATGTTAAGAAGTCTCACATTGGTAGAGGGATGGAAAATTTGTCTCCTTATGTGGACTTGGACAAACCTACCTTCATGAATTAGGTTTTGGGGTTGAGTTAGGCCCAGGTGTCATATCTTTACATAAGATATTTTAGCTGTCGAGGTGAGGAAGGTAAAGGATATTCAAGGGATCCCATAAGAAAGGGTTACCATAACCAGGGAGACGAGTAGGAAAATAAGACTACAACGCTATCAGAACTATGAAAATATTCCTCAATCTGGTGAGACATCAGAAAAAGAGAGAAACCACAAAGAAAGACAGTTTATACTATGATTTTAGATGGAATGCAAGATACATTACATCAACATTATCTCTCCCCCAACTGAGGAATTTTGGTATGAGAATCTTCTAAGCATGATGTGTACCTAATGTCACATTTTTCTATCATTCACTGGTCATCATTGACCAGTGCAAAAACTAAAATTTTCAATTTATCAGGTCATGTAGCGTCACTCGAGAAACATCTTGAAAGCCTTTTAGAGGGATTTACGGAGACCCTAGTAAGCACTCTAACTGTGAAAAGTAAGTTTCTAGAGGATTGCAAAGAGAACTAATCGTCAAGAACATAGATAATCCTAGAGTCTGCTTTTGTTCTCGGTTGATATATGACGATGATGCCACTGTCACTGCTATTAAGATTACTAATACTATTAGTGGTGCACTTCATTTTATAGCTTCAAATAATAATTCTAGAGTTAGAGATTTTTGATTTGGAGAAAATTTTCAATAGTCTAATTATTTCCAATTCCCCTAGCCAGTGATGTCATCCTGGAGTTAAAGATTGCCATCAATAATTTGAAGCTATTAAATGAAGTGCACCACTGACAGTGCTGTTAATCTCAATAGAAGTGGTAATGACATCATCGACATAGGTTGGCATGAATAAAAGAAAACTCAAGTCTTATCTAAATACTTGACGATAAGTTCTCCATGCAATCCATTAGTAACAAAAATCTTATCTTTCACAACAAGAGTTCTTGCTAATGTCTCCTTCAATTCCTCTAAAAAGCTTTCAGGATGATTCTCTAGTGGCGCTACATCCCATGATAAATTGAGAATTTCAGTTTTAGCACATGTCAATGATGACCAATCAATGATAGAAAAATGAGACATCAGGTATACATCATACTTAGAAGGAGCCCAAACCAAATTTCTTAGCTAGGGTAAGAAAACGTTGATGTAATAGATCTTGCATTCGATATAAAATCATAGTATAAATCATCTTTGTTTATGGTTTTGCACTCCTTTTCTGATATCTCACCAGATTAAGGAATATTTTCATAGTTTTGATAGCGTTGTAGTCTTCTTTGCCTAGTTGTCTCCCTAGTTATGGTAACCCTTTCCTTAGGGATCCCTTGAATACCTTTGTCATTCCTTACCTCAACAACCGAAATATCTTGCATTCTTTTATTCATGTAGTCATACTCATGTACATCTGAATCAAAGTCACCTAAGTCTATGCATAGAAACTCATCTATATCCAAATCAAAGTCATCCAAGTCTATGCCTTGCAACTCATCTACATCCGAATCAAAGCCACCCAAGTCTACGCGTTGGAACTAATCAATTAATACATCTAGTTCTTTCATTTCATATTAATTTGCTACGTAATCGGCTTCATCTCCTTGTTGATGGGACATGTTACACTCCAACTAAATGATCTTGAGATGGAAATTTAGTGTCTAGGGGGGGTTCGGGTGAACCCCCTTGGTTGAAAAATTACGTTATATATATAGGGCCAAATTCTGATTTTATGTGTACATATATTAAAATGAACCCTCTGATAATAAGTGAGAAGCTTTAGCTCAATGGATAAGGGGTTCAACAGTGGCTTTACGTCGTGAGTTCGAATCCCATGCGCATCAATTCCTCTTCTCTTATTTTTTTACCCTTTTTAATTCATGGAATTGGGGACAATTTTTGGGTTTGGATCAGCTTCTCTTTTTCATTATTTCTTTTATGTCATTTTTTTCTAATTTGTTTTTGTTTAAATTTATTAGACACATTTTTTTTAATTCTTCTTATATCTATTAGTCATTTTATTTCAATATAATTTTATGTATAACTCTTTAAAAATGATGAATTATATATATAAAGATAAATTAGATGTAATTGAATGAAGAAACTAAAAATCGTCAATATCCTTTTAATAATATATATTTAATAGAATTCATGGAATTTCTTTTCTATTTTTCCAATTCTATTTTAGAGAGATGAAAACAAAACTTATTTGATTTATTCGTCATTTTTTTCAACAAGTGATGACTAACCTAGTAAATTAAACTACATGAACTAAAAAATTGACGATGCCATTTATTTATCTTCTGAATATGCATTATAATATTAGTAAATCTATACTTACACACTTTTAGAGAATCTTGAGAATTTTCCTAGTAATATGTGTTTGAATGGATACTAATTCAAAAAAATTTAAAATGCAAAATAAAGTAAAACATTACAAAATAAAAGTATAAAAAGTACAAGAAATTTTAAGAAGTGTTAACTTTTATCAACCAATGAGATACCTTGTACAAAAAGCATGTCGGGGTTACTACGCTCACCGCGCACTTACATTACCACATGAGCTTCTTCTTTAAATTTCGAACCCCTTGAGCTTAATTCCTGGATCCGCCATTGATCGCGATAGGTTTTTCATTAACTCCAGGAATAGAAAGGTTGTTTCTCCTTTATGTAGACATATGGACTACTCATTTGCATTATCGTGACATCCTGATGGCCTAACGTCTGCAAATGAGGACCATAATAAAACATGCAAATTATGGGATATTCAAAACTTGTCTAAGTTAGTCTCTACTTTGAAGGGTAACTTTGGAGCTTTCGGTCAATCTGCTAGACATGTGATGAAATATTTATGGGTATGGCTGAGCTTATAGAATTTTTTTACATTATTTTTTGTTAAATGTGGATAGGAGGTGGAATAAGAAAATGATTTCTCTGGTGAGATATCACGAGTGTCTTTTAGTCCTGATAGAGAGTCCCTTATCATTGGCGTGTGGAATCACATATTTAGTAGCCTCCTTGAGTTTGGGTGATGACACAACTATTCATATCTTGATGAAATAATATAAGCACTTTGAGGGTAGAATGGATGACAAAACTGAGTGTGGTCTCCTTTATAACACAGGCCACCTACTTGGAAAAGGATTAGTATATAAAATCCTATTTGGTACCCTAGGGTGTGGCCGAGTGGTCAATGAAGTGGTTGAGATTCCTACGTCTTAAGGTCAAACCACAGCAGAGATAAAAACAGTAGCTGATTCATTCCATCTGTACTAGCCTTAGTGAACAGAGTTACCTGATACTTGTTGCTAGGGAGGTGGTAGGTCTCTTGTAAATTTTGTCGGGGTGCATGAAAGATGATCCGATCATAACAGTCATAAAATAAAAATAAAAATATATAATCCTACTTGGAAAAGAATAGTGCTGTACTTTCCTAGTCGAGAAAGGAGTCTAATGTAGTATCTATAGATATGATCTCAATGTAATAATGTAGATACGCAATTCAATAATAATTCTCAAATTGTAATGGAGCTTCTACGATCCGGATAGAGAATCAAATAGCTATCGTTGCTGGCAGGCGACTATAACCAATATATGCCACCAAGTTGGCCAATGGTTATATTAATAAAAGTAGAGCCATCAATATATGTATGAACCCCATATTCAGGGGAAGAAAACACAGCTAGACAGAGCAATGTGCGTCAATTTCCGGCAACTTTCTAGGATAGGGTGACTATTTGTACAATGATTTCATATGGAATACAAGATCCTCTTTATCAACATTTCCTCACCCCCAACTGAGGAATTTTGTCGAGGCATCTTCTGATGTCTCATTTTTATATCATTCACTAGTCATCATGGACCTGCACAAAAACAATAATTGTGCATTTATCAAGGCATGTAGAGCCACTCGATAAACAACTTGGAAGCCTTTAAGAGTGATTTACAGAGACACGAGTAATTATTCTTGTTGTGAAAGATAAGTTGCTTGTTGCTGGTAGATTGCAAGGAGAACTAATCGTCAAGTATTTAGATAATCTTGGAGTTTGCTTCTGTTCTTGACCAACGTATAACAATTATACCATTGCCATTGCTATTAACATTAACAACACTATCAGTGGTGCACTCTGTTTTATAACATCAAATAATGATTCTAGAGTTAGAGTTTTCGATTTGGAGAAATCTCAACTATCTAATCATTTCCAATTTCCCTGGCCAGTGATGCCATCCTGGAGTTAGAGATTGTCATCAGGACTGAGTGATCTATGATTCACTGGCTCGGGAAAATGGAAATGGTTAGATATTTAAAATTTCTCGAAATCAAAATCTCTAACTCTAGAATCATTATTTGAAGCTATAAAATGAAGTGCACCTCCGGCAGTTTTTTTTAATCTCAATAGCAGTGGTAATGACATCCTCGACTTAGGTCAACGAGAACAAAAGAAAACTCCAAGCTTATCTAAATACTTGACAATAAGTTCTCCTTGCAATCCGCTAGTAAAAAGCAACTTATCTTTTACGGCAAGAGTGCTTTCTAGGATCTCCCTAAATCCCTCTAAAAGGATTTAAAGATTTTTCAAGAGTGGCGCTACATGCCTTGATAAATTGAGAATTTCAGTTTTCACCAAATCAATTGAACAATGAATTTCAAAGAAATGAGACATCAGGTACACATCATGCTTCGAAGGTGCCCAAACCAACTTCCACAACTGGGGTTGAGAGGACGTTAGTGCAACAGATGACTGAAAAAATTAGACATCATGCACTCATCATGGTTAAAAGGTATCCAAACCAAATTCCTCAGCGGGGGATGAGAGGACGTTGATGTTATGAATCTTCCTTTCCATATGAAATGATAGTTTAAATTACCTTTCTTCGTGGTTTTGCACTCCTTTTCTGATGTCTAACCAGAGTGAGGAATATTTTCATAGTTCTGATAGCGTTGTAGTCTTCTTTGCTTAGTTGTCTCCCTTTCTAGGGGATCCCTTTAATATCTTTGCGCTTCCTTACCTCTGTAGCCAAAATATCTTACATTCTTTTATTCATGTAATCGTACTCATCTACATCTGAATCAAATCCACCTAAGCCTACGTCTAAGAGCTCATCTACATCCAAATCAAAGTCATCCAAGTCTATGCCGTGCAACTCATCTTCAACCGAATCAAAGCCACCCAAGTCTACGCCTTGGAACTCATCAACAAAATAATCTAGTTCTTCCATTTCATAGTCATCTTCTATGTAATAAACTTCATATCTTTGTTGATACGACATATTACACTCCAACTAATTGATCTTGGGGAGAAGATTTATGGTGCTTGTTTTTTGCTTGTTGATCGTGATAGGTTTTTTGGTTGACTGTAGGAATGGAAGTATTTTTTTATCCTTTGTGTGGACTTGTGGACTACTCATTTGCATCAAGGTGGCATCCTGATGGCCTAACGTTTGCAATTTGAACTAGGATAAAATGTGCAAAATATGGGATATTCAGAACTTGTCAAACCTTGGAGCTATTCAGTTAATTTGTTACACGTCTAATGACAGATATATGGGTATAGAAGAGCCTGCAGAATTTATCCACATTTTTATATAAAAATATCACTACAAAAAAATCAGCGTTTAGTGATGAATTTTAGCAACAAACATATTTTCGTCGCTATATAACGATGGATTAGCTATGGATTTATAATTATGTCGCTATAAAAACTAAAAGTAAATTAATGATGTGAGGCTAAAAATACATATTTTTAATCATTATTTCCTCACATTTATTATTTATATTTGTCCTTTCTGAGCATGAATTTTATGGATTGTACTAAATTGTGTATTTTATGTGTAGGATTAAATTGGTGAAAAATGATGAAGTTTGGAGCTAAAACGAATTAAAGATGGAAAGTTGAAGAAGGAAATCCAACAAACAACTTAATGGATTAAATTTATTAAAATAATATATTTATACATATGAGGCCAATGTGAACGAATTGCCAATTCAAATTGAATTTGGCTCGCTGCTGCCACGTGTCTATAGCTAACCGCCCCTTTGCCGCCAACAATTTGAAGAAATCCAGCGAGCAATTGGAAACCCAATTTAATTGGGTTTTGTTTTTCTAATTTGTCTTGTACTTAATTATTTATTTAGAGTTTCTATGTCTATAAATAGGGCATGAAAAATTATTCTTTAGGGAAATGAAGAACCAAGATACAAGACACAATATAAATTTTCTTCTAGCTTAGGAACTTTGGAAGAGCCGCCGTGGAGGCCGGAGAATTGTGGTTTATTCTTTCTTCTCCTTTATTATTTATTTGTATTCGTGATTAATAAAAGATAGCCGCTGCCGGGGAATATTGCTTAGAAATTGTCTTTAGTATTTATTTTGACTTGTAGTCCTTTTATTTTTTTATTTGTTTTAATTTACTTTTCTTTATTATATGTTTTACTCTTCTTGAGATGTCATCTGAAAAAGTATGTAGTGTTAAGTGTTTTTGCAATTTTTGTACTTCTGACATTTTGGATTCTTATAGGCTAATTTTTTTCTCAACAAAATAAGTTGTGTGGGGACATAGAAGATTTATTGATACTGTGCTATAAATCAATATTTAAGTGCATGATTGATGAAGATACCTATTATTGGGATCTCGAGAAAGTAAATTTTGAGTTGAGTGAAAAGATTAAATCATATGACAACCAACAATTTAGTAATAATATGTGTGAGGAAGAAAAAATACTTATAAGTCAACTTGAAGAGC